TTCAGCAATCCCATAAATACAGAACTCGTAAGTGAAGGCAGAATACAGTGTGAAGCCACTGTTCTGGAGATGGTGTAGCTGTTGTTTGGCAATGTGCCTGGGTGAAGTCAATAGTGGGTTGCCTGTAACAGTAAAGGAGTCACATATCACTCTTGCAGTTTGTTCAGTCCATGGTAAAACTTGAAAGGTTGATAAATCAGGTCTCAGGACTATGTCACAGTTGAAATTGTTGGCACTTATTTGGTTTATTTCCATATCCTTTGGATTCAGGGTTAGTTCAAGATAACCTCTGGGCATGGTAACACCATGGATTGCTTTTTCCTAAACATCAAGAAGAAGAATATATAATTTTACATTCTTCTTTGGCAATTGCAATTTGTCAGTCATGATTATTATTTACCACATACATATAAGGATTCAAATTCTAAGAAAGGTTTCAAAGCTGAGACTGTGACAATCGTTCCTAATAAGGAAACACACAGGTTAGAGTTCTGTTACACATAACTAAGGCTGCAGTCACACTGGAGGCTTGCCACAATCTGGGTGTGCCTCTAATGGCACCAGTTTAAAGTGTTGTGGGGCAGACCAACCAGACAACACACCCTGGGGTGGTTTCCCTGCCCACCATCTGGCAACAACCAGGGCTAGGGCCTTCTTGGTGGTGGCTCCGCACTGTTGGAATGAGCTCCCAGAAGAGATCAGGGTCCTGTGAGACCTTTTACAGTTCCGCAGGGCCTGCAAGACAGAGCTCTTCCACCAGACCTTTGGTTAAGGAGTTGCTACTATTAACACTACCACCAACAACAACATCTTATTAAAGATCGTTACGATACTTGAGAAAGATAGAGCCCGTGCCCTGATTCCATCATTACAGCCTGTGTCTGCCACATATACATGATAAAAACAAGAAACTGATGAGCTAGGCAGACAAGAGACCACACTAATATAACTGTTGTCGCCATCTCTCAGTATTAACTACAACTAGCTAGCACTTTATGATATCAGATTGTTTATATAGTTTTATATGGGACTTCCAGTTTATGGCGACATGCTGGCAGACGCACCTCCCGGACCTCCCAGGGGTGAGATCTGCATGCTAGCAGTTAGGAGGGGGGGGACAATTGTTCATCCCCCCCCCCGGAGCCTTTGTGAAAAACTCCTAGCCATGGGGCTTTTGAAGGGTGGCCTCTTCACCAGCGCGATGCTGGGGAATTGAGGCACTCTTCCACCCTGACGGTCCTACCACTATGCATCCAAATGGAACAAGAGCCACTGACTGGGACAAGCGTGGGAGATCAAGTGTTTAAAATGCATTTTGAGTGAGGTCATATGACCAACAATGAACAGTGAGTCGAGTGAAAGCGAAACACCAGCAATTTTTTTTAAAAAAGCCCCCCCCCCGAGAACGGCGAGAAAAGCGAGCGGGGGAGGAGCCCCTCCTATACACATGAACTAAAAAGCAATTTAGCAAGGGGGGGACGGAAGTAAAAGCATTGAAATCTGTTTTAAGAACCTTACCAGAGCGTGGATAGGTGTTGGGCGATTTTCAGAGACTTCAGCAAGTTTTGACAAAAGTAAACAGTCCATAAAAATGGTGTGGAAAAATGTGGAGAGAGACAAACAGCCAAAAGTGAAAGCACCGGGGAGCATGAGCCCACGACTGGAAGAGACCACTGAGTTCTCTAAACTTTTGGCAGACTCTTTGCGCCCTCTACTGGACCACATGACTAACTTCAATCAGCAGCTGTCAACTCTAAATCAGAACTTTGCAACTCAGCAGCTCCAACTGTCTGAAACTACAAAAAAGACGGAGCAAACAGCTGAGAAAGTAAAGGAAATAGATGCCAACTCTAAAGAAGTCAAGAAAAAGGTGCAAATGCTGGAAAGGAAGCAAGCTTTGGATGAATCTCAACTTTTACAACTGCAAATGGAGAAAGCTAACCTGGTCCTCTGGTTCCAAGGGGTCCCTGAATCTAAATATGAGAATCTAAAACAACTTTTGAGCGATGCATTAGCTCTAGTTACAGATTTAAAAGCGGAATACCTTATACCGTATATACTCGAGTATAAGCCGACTTTTTCAGCACATTTTTTGTGCTGAAAAAGCACCCCCTCGGCTTATACTCGAGTCAATACTTCCTGTGTGGCCAGGAAGATGAGGCCGGGAGGGTGAGGCCACGAAGAAGAGGCGCCCCGGTCGTGCTGCGGCGTCCAGCTTTGATCTGCAAAATGCCAGGGTCACAGAGAGAACTGGGGAAGAAACTGCAGCTCCTGCTACTCCACAGTCCGGGCTCTGAAGCTGTAAGTTTATGGACAGCTGATTGTATCACCGACTGCATTGTGTTCTTTGTGAAAGAAACGGGTAGCTAAAAATTCCAGTGAGCTGCAGTGCAAGGAAGGACGTGGCCGGCCGCTTTGTCGGTTTTGGCGGGGGGGGGAGAGAGGAGGCTGTTCCTTAGCATTCCTTCCCGTCCTTAATTCCTTTGTTGCAAAAGGTGCTTTCAAGAACTCCAGCGCAGCCTGCCAATCCTCCTCCTGAAACCAATTCTGGCTGATGCAGCAACGCTAGAGTACGTATGTGGGCAGGGCTTCCAGCCTCCAGGCGGGACCTGGGAATCCCCTGGAATTACAGCTGCACTCCAGACTATGGAGATCAGTTCCTCAGGAGAAAACAGATGCTTTGGAGGGTGGACTCTATGGCGACGGAGCCGGCGAGGCGGGGGGGCCTTATACTCGAGTCAATACTTTTTCCCAGTTTTTTGTTGTAAAATTAGGAGTCTCGGCTTATACTCGGGTCGGCTTATACTCGAGTATATACGGTAAGGGGGGGGAAGAGAGGAGGCTGTTCCTTAGCATTCCTTCCCGTCCTTAATTCCTTTGTTGCAAAAGGTGCTTTCAAGAACTCCAGCGCAGCCTGCCAATCCTCCTCCTGAAACCAATTCTGGCTGATGCAGCAACGCTAGAGTACGTATGTGGGCAGGGCTTCCAGCCTCCAGGCGGGACCTGGGAATCCCCTGGAATT